GCCGCCGCCCTCACCACCGCCGCCCTCTCCGCCGCCGCCCTCACCGCCACCTCCGTCTCCGCCACCACCCTCGCCACCACCACCCTCGCCACCGCCACCCTCTCCGCCGCCACCCTCTCCGCCCCCGCCATCGCCGCCGCCGCCATTGCCGCCCCCGCCGTCGCCGCCACCCCCGTCACCGCCGCCGCCATCGCCACCACCTCCATCGCCCCCACCACCGTCACCGCCGCCGCCTTCACCGCCGCCGCCATCGCCACCGCCGCCATCGTCCCCGCCGCCTTTGCCACCACCCTCACTGCCGCCGCCCATTTGCACTCTCCATGGCCTCGAGCTGAACTTCGAAGACACCAATCCCACCAACGACACCAACATGCTCGGCGGCTTCAAGGGCGGAGACGACACTATATGCACTGGAGAAATTAGCTGGGACACCCACAAGCCCGATGGCTGCCCCTGCGGCTGCGGATGCCAATGCAGCAGCACGGTGCTCGACAGCGCTCAACACGAGATGCGCCTGCGACAGGTCGGGAAGCTCTTCCAGGGTGACTCCACCGAGGCCCACGTGCTCGACCTCGTCATCAGAAATACCACTGAGTACATGCCATGGTCGAGCGCGCAGAATGGACGCAGCGACGGTGATACCTTTGCACAGATTTCCCTTGCCGCGAGCCAGTCGCTTGCGATGCGCTTCGCATTCGAGGATTCAGTCACCGGCAAGGAGACTCAGATCCCGTATCCTTACGACATGTGCTTCTTCGACATGGACACGGGCACGACGATTGATGGGGTCGAGGTTCTCGCGGAGACGCTTCATGCTTGCGGCGTCTCGAGCTTCTTCCATCAGGGGAAGAAGCCTGCCGATCGACTGGGGCTGCCCGCACGCGTGGCCGACTACATCTGCAACAGCACCGACATCGCTGTGGAGGACTACATGGAGATCAACAGCACCGACAGCTGCGTCACGGTGCGCGCGCTCGCCAAGGGTATTGGCAAGGACAACCCTCGCTCGTGGTCCGACGTCTTGCTGCTTGACGGCGACATCAGCGCAGGGCCCTGGGAAGCGAGTGGCCGTTGCGCCGACTACAATCTTTGTCCACCCTCGGGTGTTTCTGGCGAGGCTCGTGGACCCGGCGTCCCCGGGCCTATCCAGGACATTATCACATGTGAACCTGGCAGCACTGACGGCAGCGATGAGGCGGGTGTGTATCCCAGCACAACCACGCCAGGGGGCAACTCGATCCTGGCGCGGCTGGTGGGCAAGCCATACCGCTATACGATGCCCAAGTTCATATGCCTAACATACCCGGCCGGCACCTCCAACTTCACCGTGACATTCACCGTCGGCAACAACCCGCCGTCACCCGCTGGGTATGGGCGGAATATGCTCTTTGCGGGCACCGGCAATGCCGAATGCATCTTTGATGAGGCACCCCCGTCAACGCCACCAGCAAACCCTCCGTTGCCCCCGCCGCCCTCGCCGCCGCCGTCTCCCCCCCCACCACTGCATCCGCCGCCCTCGCCCCCGCCGCTAGTGATGCCGTCGGCTCCACAGCCACCCACCTCTCCCTCTCCCTTACCGCCATATCCTGATCCCGCTCCGCCACTGCCCACGCTACCGCCCTCGTCGCCGCCCTTGTCGCCACCACCTTATCCCAGTGCTAGAGCTATTTGTTGCGGGGTGGCAACAGCCATCAGCCCCCCGGCCCCGCCCCCCCCCCGCAGAAAGAAAGAAAAACGCTCCGGGCGCGGAGCAGCGACTCCCAAGCACCAGAAGCAGCACGCTCCGAGAAGGCAGAGCGCCGCCGCCACAAGCGGGTCGCCGCGTCTTCTTTTTGGCACGACACTGGGCACTATAAAAAATAAATAAAACGGGCACGCCAAACGAGGGGTGGGAGAAGGACAGGGTCCCCACCTGCACGAGCAGGATCTTGTAAGGACGATCAGGGACACAGGGGAAGGGGAGCGGGGAGCGGTCCCCGCGCTAAAGAAAGAAAGAAAGAAACAAAACACACAACCAAGGGAGGGATGGGAGAACGGCACGCCGCCACCACACAGGGATTTTAAGGAGAGGAGGGTGTGATGCGCTAGCCGTCGCCCACCCTGGGGAGTCTGCCGGTCCCCGCGCTGGCGCGGAGTCACCTGGCTTTCGGAAATTTATTCGCCGCGCTGCGGATCCCTGGCTATGGAGCGGCCCTCGAGCAGCAGCCAGGGAACGCTTTGCGAGCCGCCTCGGCCGACTTTCGTGTGCGACGCACTGGACGAGAAGCAGCTGACGACCTCCCTGCCCTTCAAAGTTCAAGTGCGGGTGCTCGATGAGAAAGCCGAGGCGATGTCGTCGTTCCAAGGCGACATCATGCTGCTCGCGATTTCGCGCCGCACGTGCCTCGCGGAGGGGTTCGAGCGCAAAGCACTGGGGCGATGGTGCGCCCACCCTCGACTCTCATCGCGGGCGGCCGCGTTATTTTTGCTGCGCTTCACTCCGTCTCGGTCCCCCCCTCCCCCCCCCACAGGCAGCCCGCCTCGAGCCCACTCCACCACGAGAGCCAGTACTCCCACGGTTTCGACTCGGAGGTGGCGGCGCCCGGCTCGAGCCACAGCCTCTACCTGAGCGGCGGCAACGACGCCAACTTTGGGATGACGCTCAAACTGCCAGCGACCGCGCTCGAGGCCGAGCCTCCGGAGCACTCGCCTGCGGCGGGCGGCGGGCCCGGCGAGTCCGAGTACGAGGACGCGGCGGCGCTGAACGGCAAGTTCCAGCCGGACGCGGTGTCCTTCTACGTGCGCACAGACAACAGCCTCGCGGACGCGGGCCACTTCATCCTCGGCGAGAGCAACGAGGTGAACCGGCGCGTCGCGCAGTTTCAGTTTACGCGCGACGGCAAGATGGGCCTTCTGGGGACAGGGGGCACGACCCACGGCGCGACGCCGTACGAGAGCAACCGGTGGTACCACGTGATGCTGTGCTTCGACTGGAAGCGCAAGACCGTCGCCTTCTCCGTCGACGGAAAGCTGCTGCAGCGCTCGGTGCCCTTTCGGCGCGAGGCGTCCAACTTTATCGGCGCGTGCGCGCTCGGCAACCGCGACCGGTGCACCACGTGGTTCGACTCGATCCGGTTCGTGCAGGAGACGACGCTCAACCGCGTCGCGGTCTCGATCGTCGACGGCGTCGCCGAGACGTGGCTCGGCCCGCTCGGCGAGGACGAGGAGGGGCGTTCGCTCGCGGCGCGAGACGGGTTTGTGCTACGCGCGGAGGATGCCGACGGGCAGGTGTCGGAGCTCGCCGGCCCCTACCACCCGCTCTGCCGGATCGAGGGGGCGCAGCGCGTCGCGATCAACAACGCCGCCCTCGCCGACTTCAACACCTTGCTCGCCGACGACGCCAGCGCCGACGTCACCTTTGTGGTTGGCGGGCGAGACGTGCCGGCGCACCGCTGCATCCTCGCCGCGCGGTGCGAGACCTTCCGCCGAATGTTCAACTCTTCGATGCGCGAGGGGTCGCGCGAGGAGGGACAGCGCGTGCCGATCGCCGAGGTGTCGCACGCGGCCTTCTCCTGCATGCTGCAGTACATCTACAGCGGCGCGGTCGCCGTGCCAGAGGTGACGACCCCCTCCCACCCCCCTCCCCCCCTACCCCTCCCCTCCCCTCCCCCCGCAGCCGCGCGGCGCGAGGAGGGGGCTGTTGCCCGCCCTCCCCCGCCGGCCGCCCAGCCTCCTGCGCTCCTCCGGCCCCAGGAGCTTGCCCTCGAGCTGCTCGGCCTCGCGGACCGCTACCTGCTCGAGGGGCTCAAGCTGCTCTGCGGCTTCACGCTCACGCGCATGGTCTCCGCAGACACCGTGGCTCCCATCCTGCAGGCCGCCGACCGGTACGACTCGCCGTCGTCGCAGCTCAAGGCGCACTGCATGCAGTTCGTCCTCTCCAACTACGAGGCGGTCGTCAACTCGCCCTCCTTCGAGGAGCTCACCTCGAGCCCGCAGCTGCTGCTGGCGGTGACGCGCGCCGCAGCCAAGGTGGTCGCCCCGTCCGGCAGCTCACGACAGATCTCGTGGGACTCGGACGGCGCGCCGGGGAGCAAACGCGCTCGACACGCGTGAGGACGTGGCGCGCGCCAGAGGGCGCGGTGAGGGGAGGGAAGGGCGAGGGAAGGGCGGGGCGTAGCCGCCGCGCTTATGTACCACAATTGGGGAGGGGGAGCGGCCGCCTTGGAGGCCTCGTGTAGACACGCGTGGGCCAGAGTGCGATGGTGGTGATGATACATTCATGCTGTGAGCCTGTGACATCGAGCGCGAATCTTGGGAGCACGCTCGGGCCTTGACTACGCCGAGCGTCCGAGCCTGCTCTACCTCTAGACGTAGACCAACCATCCACTTGGAGCACTTGGAGTGCAGTCGGCAGCCGCACGCCCAGGACCAGGAGCTAAGAAGCGCACCCACCACCCAGCACCAGGCAAGCCGCGATTTCTCTTTTCATCGTCTCGGGGGGGGGGGGGGGGCCTGAGGGAGGGTGTAGAGGATGTAGAGTGTAGAGCGCTGTAGAGCTGTAGAGATGTAGAGTGCTGGAGAGCGCTGTAGAGCTGTAGAGCTCTACATCCGCCGCGTGACGAGGCGCCTGCGTTGTAGAGCGATGTAGAGGCGCTCTACAACGTGAAATCTCTACAACAAACTCTACATCATAAGCGGCGAACGAGGCACGGTCGCTCTCCGACATGAGGCGCGTTGCACTTGCCAGTGCTGCCCTGGCCTTCTGTCTGCCCGCCCAATGGGTGGCAGGTGCCTCTGCTGCTATGGCATGCCTCACGGCTGCGACTGGCCGGCGCCTCGGCGCGTCAGCTCGGCTCGGCGTAGCGATAGTGGCCAGCGCAACTCGCCTGGACTCAACGCTCAGCCAGGAGCTCCCGCACGCGCTGGCGCGAGTCATGGCGCATGCAACGCGTCTGAATGCTCGCCTCGCCTCGCGCAAATGCGACCGTCCTCGCAGCCGACAGTCCACCGCCTGCTAAAGAAGCACAGCGACGAATGCGGCACCGGCGACACATGGCAGGCTGGTCATGACGCAGTTATAGGGTGTTGTGTGCCGTCAGAGGGACTCTCTGTGTGTCAGGGATAGTCAGGGCTGTCCATCAGAGCTTCACTAAGCTCGGAGACACCCCATTAGCGCGGCTCGACCTCTTTGAGTCACTGCCTTCCCGGCGGTTTGGCTGTAGAGCCTCTACAACAAACTCTACAACAAAATCGCGCTCTACATCGCTCTACAACGCAGGCGCCTCGTCACGCGGCGGATGTAGAGCTCTACAGCTCTACAGCGCTCCAGAGCGCTCTACATCTCTACAGCTCTACAGCGCTCTACACTCTACATCCTCTACACCCTCCCTCAGGGGGGGGCTGGTTGGAGGTTGGCTGGTCCCGCACTTCGCGCACTCGGGCCCGGAAACAGTTGGTTGGTTGGTGTGGCCTTTTGCGCAGGGTTCCGGCTCCTACCCGGATAGGGGGTCTGTTGACCACGACTCGCGCCAAAACGCCCTACCTACCTATCTATATCCCCAGGCCGCGCGCGAAGCGAAAAAAGACGAAAACAGGCGGTACCTACCTGTTGCAGGGCCCTCTGGGGCGGTCAAAGCCGGACCTACCTACCTATTGCATAGGGTGTCACCGGTAACAGACCCCCTATCCGCGTAGGAGCCGGAACCCAGCTTGGTAAAACCCAAGCGAGTCGGCTGGGCTATACCAGACAGGTCCAAGCGGCGCGAATGCCGCCCAAGCGCAAAGCTGCGCCGCCACCGGCCAAGCGAAATGTGCGTACTAAGGCCATCGACGGTGCGCCCGTCTCGTCCGAGCCAGCCGTGTGGACCGTTGCCCGCCTCGGCGCCAAGTCCAAGCAGCAGCGTAAGGCTGAGCACGGCGACCGCTCAAGGCAGACGAAAACGCTGTGCGGGCGGCTTGCATTGCGGAGAGAGGGCGTCGTGGGCGAAGCGAGTGTCAACCCAAACTTCTTGGGACGCCTCCTCGGCATGACGCACAGAGTCAAGGACTACAATTCATACCGGAGCCGCGGGCACGCGGGCCGCTTTGAGGCCGGCACGAATGATCGAGCGGTGATGGTCACCAGCATGGCGGCCTACGATGAGCTGCGCAGCGCGATCGGCGCCGAGCACGCGCCGCTGATCGAGGACGGCGATCTCGGCGAGAACATCCTTCTCCGCGGCCCCTCGGCCACCGCGAGTGAGCGAGCAGGGGACGGGCGGCTGGCGGTGGGGAGCTGGCTGCGTATCGGGTCATCGGTGCTCGAGGTGACCGAGGCCAATAACCCCTGCTATCGATTCAATACGCAACCCTGGGCAGCGGCGGCGAAGGAGCGCTGGGGCAGCGGCTCGCCCGACGGGCCGGAGAAGTGGTTCCGCAACCTTAAGTGCCCGCTCAACAATGAACATTTCCCTGGCGTGCGCGGCTGGCTCTGTCGGGTGGTCGAGGAGGGCGAGGTGGCAGTTGGTGACGCCGCTGGATTGCTGCCCGATGACTAACTGGGCCCTCCCCTCAAGCGTCAAGGCCGCAAGCGGGGCCCTCTCTCGCTCTCGTGTCTCGATGCACCCGCGGTCCACGTCCTAGACCTAGTACGAGCTCCTATAGTCCACGTCTCGGTCTCACCTGCCGTGTCCTTACACGCGTCCGGTTTGCGCGGAATGGTTGAGAGAGTAACAGCACGACTAAAATGATGGCCCTCACACTGGCCGACCTATGGCACCCCCCTGTGAGCAGTGTGCCACACACGACAACCCCAGCCGGGCATGCCTCGAGGGCATGCCGAACTCATGCACAGTGGGAGCCGGGCCCAGGATGGCACTCGAGCTCTTCTGACGGCGCCGTTGAAGCACTCAGACGAGATCCGAGGGCGTTCGCTCCGAGGGCGCGGCGCGCAACACGCGGCGAAGTGCGACCGCCGCGACCGCGAGGATCCCGGCCACGCCGAGCATGGCGAGCGCATTTCCGCCCTGCACCGCCGCTTCTGGCTCTTGCGCGAGTCCCCAGCGCCCGGGCCTCTTGCTGCTGACGGTCTGAACGGGCGTGGCGTCCTTCGCCGCGCTCCCGACGGTCTGGACCGGTGTGGCATCCTGGGCTTTGGACTGGAAGGAATAGAGGCCGTCAGCAGTGGTCTGAACTGGGGTGGCATCTTTCGCGGCGCTCCCAACCGTTGCAACAGGTGTGGCATCCTGCGCCTTGGTCTGCACGGTCTTTACTGGCTCCTTATTGCGCCCGCGCTTCTCGTCAACGGCTTGCGGGTCGAGCGCGGCGACGCACGCGATCACAGCGAGGAGGAAGCGCGACATATATACAACGTACACACACACATTGATTGGCAGGACCAACCCGACGGCGGGCGGCGGTTTGTCTCTTTTTTGTTTTTTTCGGTTTTAAAGAAGGAAACATAGGTCTCAGCTCGGGAAACCTATATAGCATACCGGAGGAATTAGACACCACAGGTACGCACACACCGACGCCGGAAGTGCCAAGAAGGACGTCATTAGTACGAAACCTCAGAAGGCCATGGGCGCCGAGAGAACATTCCCCCGAGAGGACAAAAGAAAAGGCTTCGCACCCCCTCCTTGCGCAGTGACCCTCGCTAAGTGTCGCCGTTATCGGGGCACGCTATCCTGCGCAGGCAGGGCAAGCGGGGGCGGGGGGCACTCCCCCTGGTCTGATACTCCCCCTGGGGTGTAAGAATATCTATTTTTTAGCGACCACCTCCTCCGGCAAGTCCTTTCGCCGTATCTCGCCGTCCCTCCTCAGCGTCGGAAAAGTCGAACTCGGAGTCATACTCGGAAGCAGGCACAGACGGCCGCGGTGATTTGGCAGGCGGCGAAGAGGGGGAGGGGGAGCGCGGCGGTGCGTGCTCGTGGCTCCCGCTGGTGCCAGAAGGGCCAGCGCCCAGCGCGCTCAGCCTGTTCTTGTTCACCTTGGGAGAGGGGGGTGGGGTCCACCTCCCTTGGGTGCGGGCTGGCGGTCAGGCTTGCGCTTGACCGCCTTGCCCGGCGGCTTGCGGCCAGGGTTCCTCATGGTGAACCTGTCCGGCATGCGCCGGCCCCATGCCCCGCCCTTCCCAACCCTGGTCCACCCCTCGGGCGACTCGTTGGGCTGGGGTTGCTGCACCTGTTGGTGCTGCGGGTGGTGCCTGCGGTGCTGCGGCCGGAGCTGCAGCGGCGGCAGGCGGTGCTGCGGGCGGTGCCGCGGCGGAGGTGGCAGAGCAGGACTCTCCTGGTACGTACTGGGCTGGGTTTTTAGGCATTGTGGGGTTGGCACTCCCATCGACCCTCATGACCTCCTGCGGTCTCTGAGGTGGACACCAGTAGGTGTGGGACCATAGCCAGGGTACACTCGAAGGCTGGGTAAGCAGTAGAGGTCGATACTCGACGCGTCCCACATGGTCTGTGTCGCTGTCGGCACGCTGTCGACAGGACGTCGAGCGACACCGGTGGCAGTGCCACCCAGGAGTGGTCGGGCGGTCTCCCGTCATGAGAGAGCCACCATGTGATCCGTATGATGATTCCTGACAACCGCCTCAGTCAACTTTCGTCACAGTTCCCGCTCTGAGAGGAGCTGCGGGTCAGTTCGACAGCTGGAGCTGTGTCGCCGGCGTGCGGCGGCCTGCCTCCGGAGGTGCCTCTGAGGTGGACATTTTTTGGTCACCGTGAGAGAACGCGTTCGAATTTTTACACCGGACCTTCAACTCCGCACGCGCACCGGCCAGGGCTGCAATAGTGCCAGTGAGGCGAAGGCGCGAGTCGGAAGGCCGCGACCGTCAAGTGTTCCCGTCATGAACCCAAACATGAATAAACTACTTTCTCTCGCCATGTAAGAAACATGTAAGGCAAAGGGGGTATTCGCATGCACATTCGCAGAGTTCCGCACGCGCAAACGACCCACGTCACGTCACGTCCCGTGCGGCGGCTAGTGCGGCGGTGCCTCCCTTTCCTTACCTGGCGCGCACCTCCTTGTGCTGCTCCTCGCGCCTCCGCTCCTGCCGCTCCTCCAGCGGCGGCGCACCGCTATAGTAACGCTCGATTGCTACGAGGAGCTCGGGTGTGGCGGGCTGGCGCTGCGGCAGCTCCTTGGGCAGCTCGTGCTGCTCGAGGGGCGCAAACGGCGCGACCGAACGCGGGTTGGACTGCCGCCGCCGCTTGAGGACCGAAGCCAGGATGCCAACCTACAGAACGAACCTCACGCTTCTCGAGTGGGGGCCCCGACGTCTGCGCAGCGCTACGCGTCTCGCACCGGGACGTTGTATGCAGAGGACAGGTTCGCCTAGTGTCCAGCAGCCCGGAAGAGGTGAGAAGGCCGCGGCTGCGTGCGCATCAGACAGGCGCGTGGCTCACCATCGGGCCGGTGGCGGCCGCGCCGCCGTGCGGGACTGGGTTGGGCAGGAGCGGGGGCGGGAAGCCCGGCGCGCCATACGGGGAGAAGCCGGCCGCCATCGCGCAAGCCTGCTGTTGCTGCTGCTGCTGCATCATGTGCTGCTGCGCGGCGAAGTGCTGAGCGACGAGATGAGGCTGCGGGAGTGGCTGCATGCCAAACGGCTGCGGCGGCTGCGGGTGCGGCGGAACCGGGTAGGGCTGCTGCTGTGGAGCGAAAGGATGCTGTTGCGGTGCGAGTTGAGCGTGCATCGGTGTCGGCTGATGCGTGCCCGCCCACGCCATGTTGGGATAGGGCGGCATCGTCCCCGGAGCGGGCGGCATCGTCCCCGGAGCGGGCAACGCGGCCAGTCCGGCCTGCGTATACTCCTGCACCTTCCTATGGTAGTATGCATAGCCGGGCGACGCCTCGTCGAACAGAAACGCAAACGTTGGGTTGTCGCGCTGCTTGTTCCTGATGAGCGCCTCGAACTGCTCGCCGTTCTTCACCTTGAAGTCGGCCAGCTTGTCGATGGCTGCGACCATCTCCGGCGTGAGGCCAGGAGCGGCAGTCGCCATCGATTCCGTCAGTGTCCTCTCAACGACGACCGAGCGAGCAGCGCGCGCACACCGAGCACAAGGTAACCCACACCCTCTCTCTATATGCCCGCCAAAAGAAAGCCAATTCCCAAGTCGGGCCCTCGGGGAGGCCTCCCTTCTCTTGAGTTTTTATTAAATGCTCCACATACCCAAAGCGGCCAACCCTCTCCATCACGGCGGAGACAGCGAGAACGATGGGGAGCAAGACAATCAAGATCAACGAGCGTCTGTGGTGGTGACCTCCCATCCCTCCCTTGTGGGATACGTGGCTGGGTTCACAGCGATTGTAGGAAAATGACGGGAACACTTGTCGCGGCCTTCCGACTCGCGCCTTCGCCTCACTGGCACTATTGCAGCCCTGGCCGGTGCGCGTGCAGAGTTGAAGTTCCGGAGTAAAAATTCGAACGCGTTCTCTCACGGTGACCAAAAAATGTCCACCTCAGAGGCACCTCCGGAGGCAGGCCGCCGCACGCCGGCGACACAGCTCCAGCTGTCGAACTGACCCGCAGCTCCTCTCAGAGCGGGAACTGTGACGAAAGTTGACTGAGGCGGTTGTCAGGAATCATCATACGGATCACATGGTGGCTCTCTCATGACGGGAGACCGCCCGACCACTCCTGGGTGGCACTGCCACCGGTGTCGCTCGACGTCCTGTCGACAGCGTGCCGACAGCGACACAGACCATGTGGGACGCGTCGAGTATCGACCTCTACTGCTTACCCAGCCTTCGAGTGTATCCTGGCTGTGGTCCCACACCCACTGGTGTCCATCTCCGAGACCGCAGGAGGTCATGAGGGTCGATGGGAGGGCCAACCCCATCACAATGCCTAAAAACCCAGCCCAGTATTTTGTCGTCTTTTTTTATTCTGGCCTGTGCCGTTGTGCGTTGAGCGTTGTGTCCCATATCAGGGGCGCAGGAATCTGGTTTCTCTGACTCTGTCTCTTCTCTGTGTCTCTCTCTCTCAGTCTACGAGGTGTATACAGAAAACTTCAGCGGGCATCTACCACCACGTGCAGACGAGAGGTGTGAGGCGGGCAGACGTGCGACAGGAGTCAGGAGAGAGGGGGAGAGGTGCGGGCGCTGGTGAGCTCACGAGCTCGCGTCCCTCGCGCGCGGACGGGCGCTGTGGGCCTCACACGAAGTACTGCAGGTCGATGTCGGCGGCCGACGTCGGGAACTCGAGCTCAAAGTTGGCGAGCACCTGACAGAGAGGGGGAGGCGCGTCGGCGACGTCTGGCGCGCGGTTGCTGCGGGCTGCAGTCCGAGCCAGTGCCTCCGGGTGGACGGTGCCAAACGTGCCGACCACGCGGCCCGTCGGCAGCACAACCTCGGCGCAGCGGCCGTCCAGGTAGGCAGGGTCGCTCCCGCGCCGGATGGAGAAGCCCGACGCCTGCGGCCGCAGCGGCGGGGCACGGGCGGGTTCGGGTCGGCGCCTCAAGCGCGGAGGAGGAGGGGAGGAGGAGGGAGGAGGGGAGGGGGGGGGGGGGGGGGGCTCGCGGAGGCCGCACCTTTGGGCCCAGCATGAGGAGCGAGCGCTCGACGGCGCCGTGCAGCACCTCGAAGCCCGACCCGTCCGCGCCGGTGTACACCATCGCCAGCCGGCGCTGGTTCGAGGCGCCGACGTCGGACTCGTCGTCGACCAGGACGACGTCTGCGGCCTCGAAGAGCTTCCACGGCAGCGGGTTGGACCTGGCGGGCGGGGCGGGCGGGGCGGGGCGGCGGGTGCGGCGGCGCTGCGGCGGCGGGAAGTGGCGTGGTAACATGCGGTAGCGGCGCACTTGTTCTTGCCCAGCGTCTTGAGCAGGCCGGGCAACAGCGACGTGCGGCAGACCTGAAACTCCTCCGTCTTGGGGTTGGAGATGACGACGGCGCGGTTGGCGCCCCCCTCCTCGCGGCGCAGCTTGGAGAAGCAGTCGTCGCTCGAGCAGAGCGCGAAGGAGAGCGCCTGTCCACGGGGGCAGAGATCTTCAGTGACACTCCGCCGCTCACGGGAGGAGGAGCAAGGCCAGGAGGAGCAAGGCCAGGAGGAGGCGGGGGCGGCGCGCGAAGAGGCGGGAGAGGGAAGGGGCGGGGGGGGGGGGGTGCGCCTCTGTGAAGCCCATCTGCGCGAGCTCGATCCGCATCAGCTCTGTGAGCTTAGTCACGGGCTGCTGCGACCCCATGCAGCAGACGGGCGGCAGCGGGCGCGGCAGCTTGTTGAACGAGTACGCCACCGCGACGTCCTCCATCACGTCGCAAGCGTGCATCACGTCCGGCCGCGTGATGGGCACGCGCACAGAGACAGACTCGCCGCCGTCGACGAGCGACGCGTCGAGCATCATCTTGCGCAGCAGCGGCGGGATCGCCTGTCAGAGACACACGTCCGAGACAGGTCGGTGAAGGGTCCGAGAAGGCTCGTCCTCTCGCGCGCAGCGGGCGGCGAGGATCGCCTCGGCGGGCAGCGCGTCGGCGCCGAGCCCGACCGCGCGCTGGATGTATCCCACCCCCGCACTTACCACCCGTTCGGAGAGGTCGGGCGTGAGGACCGTCTGGCCGGCGAGCTTGGGGTGGGAGGGGCCGGCGGGGTACTGAACAGCGACGGGCTCGACGGCGAAGGGGGTGGAGGCGTACTCGGAGAACATGGCGACGATGGTGTTGAGCACCTGCTTCCCCTTTGTCAGGTCCGTGCACGTGCACTCGATGAAGACGTTCCGCGTCTGCGGCGAGATGCGCGAGTGCTCCCCGTTGATGATCGGAGGCAGCGAGAGGACGCGATCCTGCGAGTCGTAGAGCACGGGGTAGTGGGAGGCGCCGGCGAGGATGGGGAGGAACTTCTTGAGCGGCGAGTTGCGCGTCGGGTCGTTGTAGAAGGCGAAGAGCTCCTCAGCGTCAAACTCCTTCTCCTGCGCCAGAGGCACGAACCGGATGTCCTTTGGCGGCCGGGCCGTGTAGCGGAACGGCGGAGACAGCTTGTCGAGGTCGTGCGTGCCGATGGCGACGAGCGTCCGCCTCCGCGCGATGTTGTGGTGCAGCCGGTCCTGCAGGTCGAGGAACGAGTTGTACGCCCGCTGGCCGAGCGTGCAGCCGCGCAGCACCGCGCAGAGCACGTACGGACGGATGCCGGCCGTCTGCAGACGGGCGGACGGCGCAGTCACGAGGGAGGCACCCGGCGCGCCGCTCCGGGAAGCCCGACCGGAGCCGACCACCGCGCGCGGGGGAACGGCTGGGCTTGCACAGACGGCGAGGCCGAGCGCGCACCGGCGGCTCGACGGTGATGCGCAGCTGCGGCTCAGGCGGCGAGAGCGTGTACGTCGGAGGGCTGTCGAGGCCGAGGAAGACACGCAGCGCCCGCTTCATCCCTTCGAGGCACAGGATGTCGTACCGGTTGGCCGGCACCTCGATCTTGTAGGTGACCACCTTCTCGCCGGACGCAGCGCCGCGCGTCTTTGTTCCCGCGTCCTCCTCCTCCTCCACGTCGTCCAGCTCGATGCCAAACTCGAAGCAGAGCTCCTGGAACTCGTCCTCCGTGTACGAGCGGCCGAGGGCCTCAAAGAGCGGATCTCGTAATATGCCGACCGTAGGCATGGCAGCAAGCACTCACCTCGACGCTGCAAGGCCAAGAGAAATACGCTACGTAGTTCAAGCCGCATCGCGCCCTCGCCAAACACGCGGCCACTTTCTGCTCTACGGAGTTTGGAGGAGCGCCCCGCCGCCGTGCCCCGCAACAAACAGCCTCGCTGGGCCAGCCAGAAGATAGATAGAGATAGATGCATAGATGCATGCATACATCGGCTCGCGAGGGGTGCTAGTATGTATGAGACCGATACGTCGCAGTTCTCTTGCGCAGGCACTAACCCCGCCCGAGGATACCTTCCGTGCATTCGGAGTCCCTCTCCTCATCGCACGCAAACAAACAAACCCAGCCAGTCAGCAGTCCACCCACCCACCTTCGTTCGGGTTCCGGAAAGGAAGGACAAGTATGTAGGGGTCCATGTCGAACCGATCCTATCCCGGTGCTCGGTCGTCAGTTTCTATGTTCGAAGGCGGGCGCGGTGCGGTTGCGGTGTCGGTGGCGAAATGAGATAATGAACGCGGAATTTTGGCCTCCGTCCGGTTCGCGGTATGTGTATGCCGTGCTCCGGATGTGGTTCTGACGAAGCGGCCGAGGACGCGGGCTGCTGCTCAAAGTGTCTTAGCGGCACGCGATCGTGCTGCGGCCGGTTCTGGGGCGGCTGGGTTGACTTTATTTGCCAAAGCAACATCGTCGAGCTTGCCATTGGCGTTGCCGTCGGCATTGCTTTCGAAGAGCTGATCGCGTCGTTCACAGACAGCTTCATCAAGCCAGGCGCCGGCCGCATGAAAGATGGACACGATCGCCCTTCCCGCAGCCGCGGCTGCCCCGTTGCCACTCTAAGTTCACCCCTGCCCCCTTGGCAGCCATGAACCTCGTCAAAGGCGGAAGTTCGACCTCTGGGTCGGTCTTTGTCAGAGGGCAGGAGTTCACCATCTCAGCCTTTCTGGACCACCTCGTCTCGTTTGCACTCACCATGCTTGTACTCTACACCGCCTTTTGGAGGCCCTACCTGATGTACCATGCTCACAGAGAACAGAAGTCTTCGGCCAAGGTGGAGAGCGAGACCAGGATCCCTCCCGACGAGCGGGTTATCCTCGCGGCAATCCTCGAGGAGCTGAAGGCGCAGAATGGCGCCGCGGGAGGGAAACCGCCGACTTCAGAGCTTCCGGAAACTTAGTGACTGCTCCTTTCTCTTTGGCCTTGGAGCTGCGCGCGGACCAGTGCTCTAACCATAACGGCGTGGGACTGGGATCGAGATGAGGGCATGAGGCGATGGTACTAGATTCGTCTCAATGGGGACTCGAGTCTCGACTTGCACCCCTCGCCATCTGTGTCCACCCTCCCTCGCGCTTGCCTTCCCCAAACTCTAAAATTATGTATGTAAAAGAGTGAGCGCATTAGCGGATGACACCTCTCACAGTGCTCGGAGAGTCGGAGACGCGTCTCATTCGTGGAGAGAGAGAGAAAGGGCCCCAAAAGCTGGGCAAAATGGCGCAACTCGTGCCTCCTCTTGCTCTAACAAGTCGGACAAAATCAAATATTCTTAGCTTCTCCGAGACTGGAGACAGTCACACCCCAGTATCCAGACCAGGGGGAGTGCCCCCCGCCCCCGCTTGCCCTGCCTGCGCAGGATAGCGTGCCCCGATAGCGGCGACACATAGCGGGGGACACTTGCGCAAGGAAGGGGGTGCGACGGCTTTCTTTGTCCTCTCGAGGGAATGTTCTCTCGGCGCCCATGGCCTTCTGAGGTTTCGTACTGATGACGTCCTTCTTGGCACTTCGGGCGTCGGTATGTATGTGTTCCCTCGGTAATGTGCTACGGGTATGGGCCGCCGGTTCGACGCTACCGGTCCACGAACATCTACTCTGCTGAGGTCGGCCGGTGGCACCTCGATGGTCGAGTGGCCTACCGGTTCGAAATCGGCGAGTTGACCCTTAAATTTTTTTCAACCTGAGCGTGCTCAATTTTTGCTCTGATGCCTCCTACGTATTCGAAATCAAGTTCTCGGGCAGGCGCCCGGTGCGTTGGTCGTTTTTCGTCACGGGAGTAACAAGTCGGACAATGATCAACGTCATTTTCGCAGTTTAGCGACAGCCTATAGCGGTTGAACTTCACAGCCCCAATGACTAATTTAGTGTAACGATCGCGTGCACCGTTGCCAGCGGCGGAGCCGGGCATGTCTGGGGAAGACGCTGCGCCGAGTACCCTCGATCCTGCTGAGAAGCCGCGCCACATCACAATGGCGCTGATCGCGGAAAGCTCAGACAGCTCACTCGAGCCGGAGGAGCGGGCGCAGCATGTCGTTGGTCTTAGACGGCTCAGACTGGGTCATCTCAACCTCGGTTCAATGGAGGGTCTGGATCCATGCAACGCCGCAACGCACATCTATCTCCAGCACAATCGCGTGCGTGAGATCGAAGGCCTCGACTTCTTCCATGCGCTCCAGTTTCTCGTTCTCTCGCACAACCGATTGGAGTGGGTTAGCGGGGTGGCCCATCTCCCATCTCTCCTCCACCTCGACCTCTCGCACAACAGCATCGACGATGTGGCCGAGCCCAACAACCTCTTCCCACAGTCACTCATCCACCTCGACCTTCGCGCCAATCCATGCTCTGCAAGGCCGAGCTACCGCGAAAGCCTTCTCGGAGCTCTCACGCAGTTGCGGCGCCTCGACGACCAGCCCACCGAGTCCAGTGACGAAGAGACAGACTCGAGCTCCTCGGATGAGACAGAGGCCCCGCGAGCCATGCTCACAGAGGTCCCACGCATGGCCCCCGGAGAATCTGCGGAAGATGTGTACGAACGCCTGGTTGAGAGAAGATGGGGAGGCTCCGCTGGCGGCACGGCAGGGGTGAAGGACAAAGTCGCTCAGCTCCGAGAACTGTCTCGATGCCGACGACAAGCGGAGGCGTCACAGGTGTAAAGCTGAGTGATGCGTACTTGCACATGCGTGGTGTGTGGACAACGATCGGGTGAGCGCAGCTCTGGACTGTGTCGCGCCGCGCTCCCCCACCCCGGGGAGCAGGGTGCTCTCACTGGCCTCTGCTGAGTGGTGCTCTCTACCCAGTTGAGTATATAAAAACAAGCTCTGCAGTCATGTATATGGCATGAAACATACGGGCCGGGTTTCCCCCCGTGTGTCCCGAGTGCGCAGGAGGTGGGAGCGAAACAGAAAAAGCGTGTAACCTGCACCTCGGCGGCTGCTCGTCTACCCCGACCCCGACACGAGACTGGGGCCAGCGAGCTGCACTCATATCCCAACCTGGAAGCTCGCCACGCTGTGAAAGCACCCGTGCGACCGGGCGACTTTCCTTTCGTGCTCGTGCATATCCCCTTGCCGCCACGTCGCCCTCCGAGCTGCCGTGCCTGGAACGTGCCTGGAACGGAGAAGCGCGCGATAGCGCGAGCCGCCGCCCCTCAGCTGCGAGTCAGGGCGGAGAGCGCGGCGCGCAAATCGCGAAGGTCGGTGTGCAAGCGCGGTGCGAGGTCTGCGGAGGGCGACGAGGCGAGGTCGCCGCCGAGCCGGACGATGTGCGCGTCCAAGTCGCCGGCGATGGCGAGCTCGCGCGCGGCCGACACGAGCCGCCGCATCTCGTCGGCCGACGAGCGGGCCGCCTCGAGCCAGCCGCGTAGCAGCGTGACGAGCGATCCGAGGAGGTGCAGCTGCGTCGCCGGCGACTCCTCCCAGAGCGCACGCATCCGGCGGCCGCAGTGGTGGGTCCCGGCGTAGCATGCGTAGAGCCCGCCCCAGCTCACATCGGGCCGCACTGCACCGCTGGCCGGCGAGAGGAGGGAGACCACCGCGCCGGACGCGCCCGACGCGGGAGGCTCGGTGAGTGCGCGTCGCTCGAGGAGGGCGCAGATGGTGTCGAGGCAAAAGACGTAGTCGGTGGGGTGCGCCTTGCGCAGCCGCGCCACGACTGCGCGCACCTCGGACCACGGCGCCGGCGCCGCGCCGTCGGCCGTCGCCGGTGCGAGCAGCTGCTGCAGTGCGAAGTCGACGTACTCGGGGTAGGCGCGGTGCGGCGCGGCGAAGTCGAGGACGGCGAGGGACGCGCTCCACAGCTGCGCGTCCCACGCGAGCTTGAAGACCGCGGTCAGCTCGAGCAGGCTGCCGGCCGCCGCCTCGGCCTGCGAGGCGAGGTCGGCGGCGAGGGAGGAGGCGGGCACCCCCTTGCTCGCCGCGAGGGCGGCGAGCGCACTGCCCGGGACCGCCGGGTCCGCCGCGCCCAGCCGCTCGAGCTCAAGCACCACTCCGAGCTGCAGCCGCGCGAGCTGCGCCTGCTCGTCGGCCGCGCGGATAAAGTCGGCGCCGAGGCGCGCCGCGCCGTCGGAGCCCGCCGCCTTGGCCGCGGTCGCCGCGAGCGAGAGCGCCGAGATGCGCTCCTCGAGCAGCCGCGTCTTGCTGCCCTCGGCCCCGGCCGAACCCCCGTCCGGCGCGCTCGCGGCGCGCACCGCCTGCGTCGAGAAGGCGGTGGCGGCCTCCACGTACTGGCCGCGCCGGAAGAGCAGCCGCGGCAGCAGGTAGCCGCGGGAGAGACGGCTCACCGCCTCGCCGAAGCCAGCCGGTTCCGGTGTCGCGGCCAGCGCCTCCCACGACTCGAGCGCCTCGCCCGCCGCGGGAGAGAGGAAGGCCGCCCACACGCGCCGCCCACCCTCCGGAGGCGGGCCGGCGGCGCAGAACGCCTCCAGGCGCGGCGAAGCGAGCTCGACCAGCTCCTCCTCCCGGTTGCCGTACAGGAGCCACCACGCCGCCGCGTCGAGCAGCAGCTCGTCCGACGGAGCCTGACGGAGCGCCTCTCGAAGCAGCCGAGACCACCCCTCGCCGGCAGCGGCGGCGGCCGCAGCCGGAGCCGCCGCCGCGCTGGCCGCTGCCGGGCCGGGTGCTTTGTGCGGGTCGACGGGGAGGGGCGGCCGCGCGAGGAAGTCAAGCTTGTCGAGCAGCACGCGGTAGCAGCGCAGCCGCGCGCAGATCGCGCCCCGCTGCTGCTTGGACCAGCCGTCCACGCCGGCCGCCGCGCCCGCCGCGGAGAGGGCTTGTGGCGCCAAGTTGTCGGGGTCGGCCGCGCGTACGGCGGCGAGGGGGAGCTGAACCAGCGCCCGCTCGGCGGCCTCGCTCACGGGCGACGCTCCCGGCGCCGGATCCACCGGCGGCGCCGACGCCCGCTTGGCGCGTGCGTGGTGGGCGAAGAAGGCGTCGACGAGCACGGCGAGGTCGACCGACGCGTCGGCAGACACCGCGGGCAGAAAGGCGGCGAGCGCGTCGGAGAGGAGAGCGGCGCGGTCCGGCTCGGCGGTCGTCGGCGCGTCGGCGCGCGAGAGAAGCTCCCACGCCTGTTGTATTATAGCACGGCACAGTTTGTGCACTATTCCATCATATTACATGATTAGAGATCTCGCAATCATGTTGTATGATTCGATCTCCCACGCCTTGAGCGAGCTCGCGTCGGCGCTCGAGAAGAGCTCGGGGCACTCCGCCTGCAGCCGCCGCGTGACAGCCGCGCCGCCAGCAGCCTCGGCAGCGCCGAGCGCGTGGAAGAGCGCCTTTGGCAAGCGCGCCTCGATGTCGGCGTCCCAGCGGCCTGGCTGCGGCTTGCCGCGCCCGTCGAGCAGCAGCGGCACCGCGAGGCCCTGCAGAGTGAGCCCGGCGGCGAAGTGCGCCTTGAGCTTGGGAGGCAGCTCCGGCAGCTCGGCCAACCTCCCCGGGGCGACCTCGGGGGAGAGGAGCCGCCCCGCGCCCGCGTCGGCGGCGGTGTCGATGGGCGGTGCGGCGGCGGGCTCGTCGGGCTCGGCGACCGCGGCGAGCAGCAGCGAGAGCTGCGCCACGCGGCGCGCGAGGCAGATCACGGCGGAGAGCGACTCGGCCTCCTTTTCGCTCGCGTGCGTGCGCTCCATCGAGCGCCAGCGCGACTCGGCGACGGCGCGGTCGGCGTACACGATCGAGCCGACCGACGCGCGGAGGCGCGAGCGGCTGCCCTCCATCCCCCCGGCGGGCGGGGCGCCCGCGCCGGCGGGTGTGAGGCCCCACTCACCCGAGAAGGACTCGAGGTGGGCAACCAGCCGGGTGAGGCTGGCGTGCAGCCGCAGCCAAAAGGGGCGGCCGTGCCGGAGCGCGAGGCCGCCTCGCGGCGTGCTACAGCAGAGGGGCTGTGACCAGCTCTCGTGCAAGAGGCGCGCCACTGCGCGGCAGATGCCGCCGTGCCGCCCCGAGTGCCGCTGCGCCTGGCCGCGGATGGCGACTCCCTGCGCCGTCGCAAACGCCTCCGACATGGCGGGCGCCGCGCCCGCCACGACGCCGCCGTGGTGCTGCGCCCAGCCGGCGAGCACGCCGGCCGTCGGCTGGTCGGCGCCAGGGGAGAGGACGGCGAGGAGGCACATGGAGCACGCCTGGGGAGCGAGGGGAGAGGCGAGGGGGGGGTGAGCAGCGAGAGGGGAGGGCCTCGCGCCCGAGGCTCTGCCGCGCGGGTGGCGCGGGTGGCGCGTGCGCGCGGCGGCGCGCGGCGGCGGGCGGCGCGGGGCGGCGGAGCGGCGGCGCGGGGCGGCGGAGCGGCGGTGGGCGGCGGCGGAGCGGCGGTGGGCGGCGGTGGGCGCGGCGGCGGCGCGGGGCGGCGCTCCTCGTCGGCGCCGTAAAACGAGAAGAAGTCGTTGGCGGGTGAAGGCAGCCCGAGCTGCTGGGCGGCGGCGGAGCGCGGCGAGGCGGCGGCGAGGAGCGGGTCGAGCGGCCGCCGCTTGAGCACGCGCTGCACCCCCTCCGAGGTGAGCAGCACGAAGGAGCGCAGCGCTGCAGAGTGCTGCGTGGCGAGGGCGGAGCCGAGCGGCGGCGGGCCGGGGCGCGGCTCCTCGGCGACGGCGAAGAGCGAGCCGCGCAGCCGCAGCCGAGTCAGGCTGGCCGCGTCCGAGGCGGGCTTGCCGTCCTCGCCGCGCGCCGCGAGCAGCTCGCTCACGCAGAGCAGCTCGACGGCGCCGGCCGCGTCCTCGACCGACGGCGCGAGGAGGGTCGTGTCGCCGGCGACCAGGGCGGCGCCGCGCGAGCAGCGGAGCGGCCGCCCGTCCGAGGCGCGCGGCGGCGCCACCGCAAAGAGGGGCCGGATCTCTGCCGGGTGCGAGCGGCGCCCGTCCGCCGTGTTAGGCGCGACGCGCACGCAGACGCGCACGCCGGAGGACGAGACGAGCTCGAGCTGCATCAGGTGGGAGACGGTGGAGGGGATGGGCGCCAGCGCGACGAAGGCGGGGGAGAGCTCGCGCGAGGCGGCGGGCGCCCGCTCGGCGGCCTTGATGTCCTCGTCGAGCCGCTGCAGCGTCTTTGAGTCGCCCGCGATGGCTCCGGAGTGGCGCAGCGCGTGGTGAACGGCGCGCGCATCCATCGAGGCGACGTACCGGAGCGAGTCGCCCTTCTCGCCGAGGTCGTACACGCCTGCGGGCCGGGGGGGCGGGGGGGGGGCATCACAGGGTCGGCGAAGGCCGTGCGGGACGGAGGGGCGCGGCAGCAGCAGCAGCTCCTTCCGACGCTGCCGGCCTCCTGCAGGGCCGCCAGGCGGGCTGCACGCACCGAGCGCCGACGCGGCGGTGAGGGAGTAGAGGATGTTCCGCTCGGCGTCGTACTCGAGCTGGACGATCGGGTCCGCGCACTCGTGGAAGGCGGAGAGCACGAAGTTGTACGCGCGGTCCCGCTTGCGCGACACGTTCTTCTTTTGGCACATCCGGTGCGACCCGCCGAGCCAGCGCTCGGAGAAGCCGTACTGCAGCTCGTGGAGGAAGCCGTCGGCGCCCGCCATGAAGACGCGGCCGCACGGCGTGTGCGCCATCGCCACGAAGTTGACGCCTACGGGGAAGGGCACGAGCCGGCTCACGGAACTGTCTCGCGCCAGCAAGCCCAGCCAAGCCAGCCGAGTCGCCGTCGGACGGGACGGCGAAGCCGGTCTCGTGGATGTCGATCGTCGAGTCCTCCGCGCCTACGGCCGTCCCGCCGCGGGGTGACCGGACCCCTCCCTCCCCTCGCCCCTCCCTCGCCCCTCCGTCTCTGCTGCCTGCGGGTCCGGTCGGGTAGACGGCGAGCACCACCACCTCTGAGGGCGTCGAGAGGAGGAGGAGGTGGCGCGGCGTCGCCTCGGCCGCAAAGACGCCTGGCTTGCAGGGCACCAGCGCCGCGTTGATGATCGTCTGCTCGAGCCCGTCGTACCTGCAAGCCACCGCCCACCCAGGGCGCGGCGTGAGCCGCGCTGTGCCGCCGCCGGCAGAGCGGGAGGGCAGGGCACGCACTGGTAAAAGCTTCCCGACGGGTGGTTGTAGTCCCAGAGGAAGAGCATGTGGTCGATGGTGAGCCACGCGCGGTGGATCTCGGGGAAGAGGCCGACGAACCTGCGCGCGGGCCGGCCGCTAGCCTCGACCCGGCGATGTGTGGCTCGAGGCATCGCGGGGCGGCGCACATGTGATACTCGAGCTGCTCGGTCGCAGCTTGCTTGAGCGCAGCGGGCATCGGCGCGAAGCCACCCGGCGCCTCCATAAACTGAGGCTGCTTGTGCAGGGGCAGTTCCGCGTCGCACGGCTCGAACAGGCCCTCGTTGGCGCGCGCCTGCTTCAGGAGCCGGTTGTACAGGTCCGTCTCGTCCTTGACCTTTGCATCGCGCTGAATCAGCTTGGCGATCTGCTCGCGCGCCGCCTCGAGGCGCCCTTTGGTCTTGTCGGTGAGAGGCGGCATCAGGGGATGACAAACCGAAGGTGAGCTGAGCTGCCCGCAAAAGCCTCTTTCTCGCCGGCTACCGCAACGTCGTGCCTCCGGCGCGCACAGCGCGTTTCTTTTTCTGGAGCCTCTTCAAAGAGCCAGCTTCTCTTTGCACTCCCCACACCCCACACACATCCGTCCTCTTGCGCCCCCCCGCGGCCAGTTCGAGCCCACACACCGGGCCCCATGGAAGCAGGTCGTGCAGCCACAGATCGCCGCGCTGCCGCCACTTAGTCCGGAGTGTAGCACGAATCGTCCGGCGGCAGTGGCTGCGCGAGTAGCCACGGCCGTCCGACCTCGTCTGCCCACGTCTCGACATAGGGCGGCGGGCTTGGCGGGTGCACGAAGAGACTGACGAACCAAGAGACGATGGAGATGACGATGCCAACCACCATTGCCACCTGCAAGGCGGGAGGGAGGTTCACTGGGTCGTGGGAGAAGCGCTGCCAAGTCACTGAGCCGCGCCTGCCCTAGGACTGGAATCCAGTCCGCAGCTTCGAGGGCGTCGCCAACAACTCCGGCGACGCGCGACACGACCCATGTGGAGCGCGCCGCGGCCTGGGTGATCGTCGACGTGAGGCGGGTCGCCATGGTCACAAGCATGACGCCGTTCGAGATCTCGTTCAAGATGCTGAGCGTCGCGATGGCGTCTTCGCCTAAGACCGATAAGCCAAGTGGCTGAGCTCTGCCCCCTCCCTTCCCCGTCCCGCGCACCGCACTCCACCAGCGCATCTATGGTGAGGCGACGCAAGGCACGACAACGCATCTACAGACTTCACCGTGGGCGATCTCGTGCTGAATTTGGAAGCCTGTCGTCACGCAGCCAGCCAAGATTGCGACAGCCTGAGTCACCTGGGCGATTTCGCTCGTCACGTGAGCGATCCGCGTCCACTTCTCCGCTGACCCGCTTAGCAGCGCGGCGACGGGCTTCTCGAGGTCTACGGCGCGATCCAAGTCCGTCGCGGCTGCCTTGGCACCCAAGCCAATGATCGGCATCTTGAGCGCCTTTGCCTGCCTCTCGATCCCCGCGAATGCCAACCCCGCCACACGCGCTTTTTTCACCATGTTCGTGTAGGGGTTTATCTGCCAGGTATCACCGCGTGTAGGGGTCTGCCAAATCGCGTTCAGGTTTTTGGTGACCTCGAGCAGACCATCCGCATCGGCCTGTGCCTGGCCGATCTTTACAAAAGCCTCAAAGTTCGCTCCGCTGTTGAGGAGGTGGGTCACAACATCGATGGTCGTAGCAACAGTGTCGACCTAGGATGCAGGCTCGTGTGGTGGTGTATACAAGGCGAATCAGAGGTGTGCTAGAGCGTGCGGCGGACCTGGTTGTACGGTGCCTGCAGGTTCCAATCCAGGTAAGAAAACATGCTCAATGCGCTAAACAGGCCAAGGTGAGCAGCAACGATGACGCCCCTCCCGATGTTCGGGAACGATTTGGGAACCATGTTTATCAACCTCGAAACAAAGTTGGGGGTGTACGTCGTCAATTTTGGAACAAAGTTGAAGAAGGCCGTCCCGGCGCGGATCCAACGGTTGTAGTGGGAGTTATCGTCTTGGACCTGCGCCACCAGTTGCAGCTGCCGGATCTGCTCCACGTCATCCGCGATTGACTCCTGGGCAGCGACGGTAAGATTACTCGTCCCGTCCACGAGCTGCTGCAAGAACTGCGCGACAAATTGCACTGCGAATAGGCTTGCGTTGACGCTCGGCGTGTTCGCCGTGGCGTTCGCTGGGTTTATCGACTGCCAAATGTTCACGATGGGGAACTCGGCCAGCACGTAGTGTATTCCGGACGGATAACTCATTCCGTTTCCGTCGATATACACCGCGTTGGGCTCTGGGTCGAGGCACGTCAGCAGCCTTGACTTTGAAGAGACCGCTGCTGAGCCGCCTGGGTGAACGCGGGAGGGACGTGCTGGGCTTTGCCACACTTGAGGGTCGTCTGCTGGTAGTTCATAGCGTACGCGCCTGTGAGAAAGTCAATGGCGGCCAGGGTGCCCAGCACTACCTGGCCCTCCGCGTTCGGCACGGTCAGGAAGTTGTAGAACTGACGCGCCCAGTAGGTGCGGTTTGCCATGAACGGCTGCAGCCCCGGCGTGAGCTCGAGGAAGGCGTCAGCAGAGAGCATTTGCATGAGCTGGTTGTATCCGGGCATTTCCGACAGCGCCTCGCTGTCGGGACATTTCGCGCTCAAGAAATAATCAATTCGGGTGCTGCGGCAAACAGGGTGGGAGGGAGATTTAGCCGAGGTGCGCAGAGCTTGGACGGGATGGGGAAAGGTTGACATATCACCTTGCATTGATGCCGCCGAGGTAGCCCGTGGTGCCGTCGGTCGAAATGATCCTGGTGTCGCTAGTGCCCAACAGAATCTGGGACAGGGGAGGGACAGCTTATAAATAGCTACAGCAGCGCGGGAACAGCTCGCGACTGGAAGCTACCTTGCTGAGGTACGACTTGGAATAGTTCACAAGGAGATCGACGTACGTCTGGTTGTTGAGGTAGGTTAGCTGGGTGGACGACACACTCAACGAAGCCTCTGATATGCCCAGGATATCGAACCAGTCCGGCTCGTGTACCGCGATAGCCTTCAGCATCAGCTCGCGGAACGTACTTTGCGCCCGCTGCTCCACCTCCTTGCTGGGCGCAAGCGTGGTGTAGTACAGATCGGTCACGCTCAGCGGAACGCCTGGCACAGACGCCTGCAACCGACGCGCCTGGCTTGACACTCGGCGGTGGGTAGTGGCGCAGCGACTGTTGGGCACCGGCGGGTCGTAGAGGCCTGGTACCATGTCCGTCCAATGCGAAGGAGCGAACGACGTGCCGTAGAGAGGAAAGACCCGTCCGGTGGTATATTCTGTCAGGTTTCCGATGACACGGAATCCATATCCGGCAGTAGGATTCTTTGTGGTTGCATACAGCAGCCACTCGAGCTCCGCCTGAATCCAGCGGTACCCGTGCTGGTTGAAGAGCCCAGAGTTGACTTTGAACTGCACGGATGCGTGAAAAACTTTGGAATGAATCAACATGCAAGACGTGAACATGCATGTGCAGAATTCCTCGCTCTCCGTACCAATGGAGCTGGCCAGATCGTTGCGGTACTCGTTGGTGGTAAAGAAGGAACCGGGACCGATGCGCGCCTCAAGCGCAGCGGGAGACGCATAATGATGTGGGGGGCTCGGGCTGGTTAAGCCGCCGAAATCCATGGTACCCCAGCCTGAATCATCAGCGGAAGAAGGCGGTGGGGAAGGCGGTGGGGACGCTTCGGTGGCGTAGAAGGACATGTTCCAGTTGTTGATAGCAGTGGCGTTCGTGAGCGTGCCGCCCAGCGTGTAGCCCCCTCCCCCAGCAAGGACCGATCCATAAATGAAGGTAGCCCAAGGCATCAGCTGACCGTTATCCTCGTAGTGGACGGCAAAGTAGATGGCGCCAGTCAGCTCTCGTGTACGTTCGTTGTTCATTAGTTCATAATGTAATCAATTCCACACAGCAGGCACCACACACGCGCTCAACTCAATATCGCACTCCACTAACGTGGGCGCGCGGAGAAAGTCAGAGCTCAGGCGGGAGAGGGCCCCAGTGGAGATGGTGGAGATGGTGGAGATGGTGGAGAAATCTGAGTTCGGAGTGCGAGCCACGCGTCTTTTGGGTTTCCTCCCTTTTCCGCGACGCGGCTCCCGAGTTCGTTTGATCACCAACTCATTGTATTATTCTGCAATTTGCAACAATTATATTGACACTCAAATTGCGGATTGCGGGAGCAACCATTCTTTTTTTCATCACCGACCCCCGAGACGTGGCCGGGTGCAATCAGTCTGCAATCACCATGACGCACCACCAATCCATACTGGGACGTACGCACACTCCCCTGGGAAAAAGAAACACACCGAAGGAAGTAATCCAGGATCCCCTACCTTCACACTGGTGTGAATACGTCCCGAACCCGTACTCGGGACCCATAGCATTCATCTCACATATCGGAGAAAGCCGAGGATCAGCCCCACCAGTTGTTGGAGGCCGGCGCCGAAGGCGGCGGCAGCGAAGGAGGGGGCCCGGGCGGTGGTCTGGGTGGCGGCGGCGATGCCGGCGGCAACGGCGGCGACTGCGGTGGCGGCAGCGGCGGTGGATCCGACGTGAAAATCTGTGCGCTGACAGTGCCAGCCACGGTGCTCACGAGGCCGATGGGCGGCCCAAATGTTGCCGAGGCGACCTATTTTAAGTCTCTTGGTAATTATACGGCAGTTGTGAGGGAGCATATGTGGTCACTCCCAAGAGAGCCAAGACCTCGTTCGCAGCCCAGACCTCGGCCCCAACCACCTTTCCAGGCGCCTCCCAGGTCGCAAGGAGCGTGCTCGCTGCTGCGTGATCCACTGCCGACGCGGTAGCCGTGATGCCGCCGCCGACGAGCGCCGCCGTCTCACCCAGCGGCTTCTCGTTGACAGCCAGCAGCTCGCCCTGCGCCTGTGCGCCGCGCTCTCCGACCTCGCCCGGACCCGCCACGTTGGACTCCTCCTCGCCGCCGCCGTATGAAGCGTACGTCTCCTTCTCCCAGCCGAACCAGCCGCCCTCGAGCGCTATATCGGGAGAGAAGCTGACCGAGCCACCCGACGTGGTGACCGACGGGTTGATGCCGAAGCGCAGCGGCATGACGGTGAACTTCTTCTCCTCGGGAGCCGTGACGGCCGAAGCTCCATTGCGATGAGAGCTTTGGCGCAGGGCGCACACCAGCAGGAGGCCGGCCAGAGCGAGGCCAGCGAACAGCGGTCGCGTGTGTTGAGAGCGGCGCGTGCGCGTCGGCAGAGGCGTGATCATTGGAGCAAGGTGGCTGGGCCAGAAAAAGAATTTGTGCTCAAAGTGCCCAGTGTTGTGCCAGAAAAAGAATTTGAAGCTCGCTCACAGCAGAAAAATAATTTTACAAACAAACTCCCTCGCACGACACTAGGCACAGGACTGGCGCGCACTGGCACTAACACAGGTACACCACAGAAAAAGAAGAGTTTTACAACCAAACTCCCTCGCACGACACTGGGCACGGCGCACGGGACTGGCGCGCACTGGCACTAACACAGGTACACCACGGGAGCCGCCTAAGCGACTCCTGCGAGGGCGGCGAGGCACTTAGCTCCGTGCACCCGTCCGCCCCCGCCACAGGCAAGCTCATTCACAACCTGCTCTGCGATTGCCGTGTGAAGAACGACCGAGATACGCTGCTTCTGCAGCCCCAGCCAATTCTTAGTGGTCCAAGTCACCTCATCGAGGTATTGGGCCCGCGTCAGCTTGTTCTGTAGCACGTCCGCCGCCTGGCGGAGGATCTCACGGACCCCCCTCCCGAACCCGCCGAACGATTCGAACAGCAGCAGCTGCACGTCAACGTCCTTGTCTTCCCTGGCGTAGCGATAGTCCCCGCTGTAGGACGGTATGCGGTGGTCGCCGCCCACCACCCTGGGCTGAGTCCACGGTCAGGGTGCCAGCCCCGGGCCCCCACCGTGTAAACGGGCAACCCCTGGGAGCCACACGACGTTAAACACACCATGTAAAAGCTCTCCGCGAGCTCTCTCGAAGTAACAGCTTACTTTTCGAAGTAACTTCGACGCTCAAAAGTTAGTTTTCTTGCGTACCCCTTTGCGCCATGAACCAACCGCTCGAAACGCTCAAATTGGCGTTCGCGCTCGCAGCCTTCTAAAGCCGGCACCGCGATGGCCAGCACGTCGTCGCCCGCACCTGCTGTGGCACCCAAGGATCAGATGGCGACCGACGCGTTCCTGTCGTCACTCGCTGAGCTGCGGAGCATGCCGCATACTCACGTCAGTGAGAAGCCGGTCGGCAGGGCGGAGAAGCCCAACGACTTTGGCGTGCTCGTGACGTTGAATATTCCAGAGAAAAAACGCAAGCAAAAGCGGTTCGCCGTCACTGGGCCGAAGGGCGATCGGCCGAACCTCATCGCCGCCACGCAGGAGGCGAAAAAGTGGGTTAATGAGCAGCTGACGGAGGCCGGTATCGAGGCGACTCTGCCAGAGCAGCCGCCCCCACAGCAGGCAGCAACTCCCGAGGAGCTGGAACTACTCGCCGCCTGGATCGACGAGCAGCCCGATCCGGGTGCTATCACTATGGAGCTGGCGCTCGATTGGCTTCACAGCCAACGCGCCAAAGCTTCTGGGGCGGCAACAATGGCGCTGCTGATGGACCGTCAGCTGGCCGAAGCCCATGTGCGCGCAGCTGAGAGGCAGTTGAACCGAGCCCAGCAGCAGCTCGAGAGAATGAGAGGGGCACTGCCGCTGTCACCCAACGAGAAGCGGCAGCGCACCGTGGTAGCCGATCACCCGCGAGTAGCACAGGGGGGGGAGAACCCGCCCAATTGGGAGCACTTTGCGGGCTACTTGCGAGAGACGTACCAGGGGGAGGAGGTCAAGGAGCAGGATCGACGAGCTATCCCCATTGACCGCAGCCGTACAGACCACTCGCTACCCAGAGGCGATGAATCCCGTGGGTGGTTCAGCCACTGGCGACGCGGCGTCGGCGGCGTGTTGCGCGGCTGGGCTAGGGCTCGACCGGATCGTGAGCGTTGTGAGGCCGCAATCCTGTGCTTAGCGATAGGCAGGCACATCATGTGGGTACTCAGGATCACTCGTATGATAATGTCAGCACGTAGCTACGCTCGCGAGGGCGACCTAAGCACCTAAGCACCCTAAGCGCCCCCCCGCTTAGGCCGCTTAGGTGCTTAGGCGGTCTCTGGGGTTGGGACCTGGGGCCCGCCGGGGCCTGGGAGGGTCGGCTGAGCCCCTCTCTGTCTGGTGGCTCTCTACGGAGCGTTTACACAACAGCTCGGCACCGTGGACTCAGCCCCTGCCCCCCCTGGTATGCCAGCGCCCGGTCCCTTGCCCTCTCTCGCCCTTGCTCTTCCTCTCCCCCTCCATGCCCCCCCCCCCCTACCCCTCCCCTCCCCCCTCCTCCTCTCCCCCCCCCTCCCCCCCTCTCATCCGCCCGCCCCGCTCTGTGTGTGTGTGTGTGTGTGTGTGTGTGTGTGTGTGTGTGTGTGTGTGTGTGTGTGTGTGTGTGTGTGTGTGTGTGTGTGTGTGTGTGTGTGTCCGCCCCAATAAGTGCAGACGTCTCTTCAGGCTGCCGAGAGCCTCGTCCTGGCCCGCGCGCGCGCTCCGCCTGCCGCGCGGAGCGAGACTCGGTGGACGTCCGAGCCCGCCGCGGCCCTCGCCACTGCTCCACCCTGCTGCGTGCTGGCCCATGCAGCGCGACACCGCCGGCGCTGCGCCTGCTTCCTTGCGCGCCGCTGGACGTCGGTTCGAGGCGCCAGAAAAAGATTTTTGCGTGTTTACGGCTCGCACAACACCACTGGGCACGGCACTCCGTCTGGCGCGCGCTCTGAGGGAGGGTGTAGAGGATGTAGAGTGTAGAGCGCTGTAGAGCTGTAGAGATGTAGAGTGCTGGAGAGCGCTGTAGAGCTGTAGAGCTCTACATCCGCCGCGTGACGAGGCGCCTGCGTTGTAGAGCGATGTAGAGGCGCTCTACAACGTGAAATCTCTACAACAAACTCTACATCATAAGCGGCGAACGAGGCACGGTCGCTCTCCGACATGAGGCGCGTTGCACTTGCCAGTGCTGCCCTGGCCTTCTGTCTGCCCGCCCAATGGGTGGCAGGTGCCTCTGCTGCTATGGCATGCCTCACGGCTGCGACTGGCCGGCGCCTCGGCGCGTCAGCTCGGCTCGGCGTAGCGATAGTGGCCAGCGCAACTCGCCTGGACTCAACGCTCAGCCAGGAGCTCCCGCACGCGCTGGCGCGAGTCATGGCGCATGCAACGCGTCTGAATGCTCGCCTCGCCTCGCGCAAATGTGACCGTCCTCGCAGCCGACAGTCCACCGCCTGCTAAAGAAGCACAGCGACGAATGCGGCACCGGCGACACATGGCAGGCTGGTCATGACGCAGTTATAGGGTGTTGTGTGCCGTCAGAGGGACTCTCTGTGTGTCAGGGATAGTCAGGGCTGTCCATCAGAGCTTCACTAAGCTCGGAAACACCCCATTAGCGCGGCTCGACCTCTTTGAGTCACTGCCTTCCCGGCGGTTTGGCTGTAGAGCCTCTACAACAAACTCTACAACAAAATCGCGCTCTACATCGCTCTACAACGCAGGCGCCTCGTCACGCGGCGGATGTAGAGCTCTACAGCTCTACAGCGCTCCAGAGCGCTCTACATCTCTACAGCTCTACAGCGCTCTACACTCTACATCCTCTACACCCTCCCTCAGCGCGCGCTGGCACTAACACAACAGGTAACCATAAAAAGAAAAACAAATGCGAACCCCTGAAGCCTAAAGGAAAATGCGACATTACCCCACTCCAGACCCCAACCCAAAGAACGTCCTCGTGTTCGCCGCCACCGCGTCCGCCACCTCGTGCGCCGGCACAGACAGGCACTCTGCGACCGCGCGGCACACGGCAGGCATGTTGCACGGCTCATTCGGCCCTCGCTTCAGGCGGCTGACGTTGGGCAGGGACGCCTTGTCGGGCTTCATGAAGGGGCTGTCCGTCTCGAGCATCAGCTGCTCGAGCGGCAAGAGCCCGGCGCGCAGAAACTCCCGCACCCGCGCGCCCCGCTGCTCCATCGCGACAAAACCGGTGAGGCCGACATAATAACCACGGTCGACATACGCACCTCCTCGCCGCCGGTGAAGCAGTGCACGCAGACCCGCTTGGGAGGGACGCCCGCTCGGTCGAGGATGCCCATCAGGTCCGCGGCGCTGCCGAGCGGCGCGCCCTTGTCTGCGTCCACGTCGCGCTCGTGCAGGAATAGTGGCATCCCCTGCTCGACCGCCAGCACAGCCTGCCGCTCGAACCACTCGAGCTGAACCTCACGCCGCGAGAACATGCGGTCGTAGTCGAGGCCGCACTCGCCCACCGCCACGCACTCGGGCGCCTGAAGCATCTCGCGCAGCACGCCGATTGTCTCCTCGTCACAGCTCTTCGCGTCGTGCGGGTGCACGCCGGCGGTGCAGTACAGCTTGACTGCGTGCGCGGCAGTGCTGCGGACTAGTTTTAGCGCCCGGCGGCTGTCCACGACCGAGGTGCCTGTGACGATGACGCCTCCGACGCCAGTCAGCTCACACCGCTGGAGCTGTTCCTCTACAGCGCCGTCGCCCTTGGTTTTGATGAGGTTGGCACCGATGTCGATCAGCTCACACGGACTGCCCTGGCCGTCTCGCACGGCCCACTTGCGAAGCGTGGCGGCGTCGGCAGCGTCGCGCGCCCGGCGCGCCTCCCTCTTTGCCTCGACTTCGGCAGAATTGGCGGCGGCCGCCGCCGCCATGCCCTCTGGACTCGCCGCCTTCTCTCGCTTCCGCTGCCGCGCCTGCCGCTTGGCGAGCATCTCGGGCGTCATGATCAGCTCTGGCACGGCGCTCATGAGCGGCGCAGTGGCGAGCCGCAGACACGTGGGTTTAGGAGCGCCGAAGCAGAGCGCGAGCATGCCCGACAGGGAGGCGGCAGGCGATTTTTTTAAACCCGATCGAAGCCCTTTTTAAAATGGCAACTCTCTCTCACAGCAGACAGGCTATCGTCCTTCCAAAATCCTGCTCGTGCAGGTAAAAACCTGTCCTCCCCCAATCCTCGTTTGGCGGTTTGTTTCTTTTTTAGCAGGCTCGACAGGCGACAAGAAAGAAACGCCGATGCGCACGCCGCCACCACACAGGTTTTGCTGCGCTGTGCACTTTCGCGGCCGTCCTTTAACGTCTTCATGACGTCCGTCCGCTCCACACAGTGGTGGGCGGCGGCAGCGGCCGCCGCGGAACCTCGAATTCCTTGTCGGTAAAATTCTTTTTGCGTGTTGCCTTTGCGCGTCCGTGCCCAACATTGAAGAATTTTGTGAATTATTTTTGCGTTATCCTTTAATTCCCCCTTGAGGATTTTTGTTTTCTTTTTGAGCCGATGCTTGCATCGCGTAGCATGAGCATTACAAAAAAGGGAGGCGAACCCCGACGTCAAAGACGCGGCAGTGGCACGATCGAGTCCCTCGGCCACTGCAGCCCCAAGGGCAGCGTGCACACGCCGCCCGAGCAGAGCAGCTGCGAGAGGGCCGGCAGCGGCAACGCGTCGTCGGGCCGCTCCAGCAGGTCGGTGGGCACGTAGACGCGCGCGGTGGCGCCGCCGTTCCACGAGGTGACGAGCTGCACCTCGCCGACCTGCACGAGGTGCGGCTGCGAAGGCAGCGCGCGCAGCGAGACGAGCAGCTGGAAGCGCGGGAAGAGCCGCACGTCGCCGAGCGCCGTCGCCATCGAGCGGAGCAGCACGTCGTCGTAGCAGACCGAGCAGGCAAAGACGTGGCTGACGTCGCGCAGCGGCACCGCCTCGCCATCCTCGCCGTCCTACGGGCGGTGCCACGGGCGAGTCACGAGTCGCGGCCCACCCGCGCCTCGCCGCTCCACCGGCGCGGCGCCTCCGCCCCGTCCGCCTCCGCCCTCTCCCGCTCCACCCACGCCCCCAACTCGGTGAGGTCGCCGCGCACGAGCCGCACGGGGGACGGCAGTAGCCCGTCACCCACCGCGGCGGCGAGCGAGCCCACCGCCGTGCTGTGCCGCTCCTCGAGCAGCTCGACACCGATGCAGCCGCGATACCTCCCCCGCGCCGCCACGTGCAGGAGCGCCTCGCCGCGCCCAGAGCCGAGGTCGCAAAAGACAGCCCCCGGCCCCGGCTGCAGCAGGCGCAGCAGCTGCTCGACACCCTCCTCGAGGAGCTCGCCGTCGGTGGCGGCGCGTCGGTACACCTCGCCGAGCGCCGCAGCCTCGGCCGACATCGCCCCCGGTGTTGCAGCCGCCGCCGACTCGCGTGCCGCCGCCAGCAGCCGCCGCAGCGGCGCCAGCTTCGGGTGCGGCTCGTAGGCGGCGGTGGCGGCGGCGGTTGCGTCGGCGGCGTCGGCGGCGGAGGGCGGCGCGAGCAGCCGCACGCGAGCGAGCAGCCGCGCCGCAGGGGTCGCTGCGGCGTCCTCCGCCGCCGCCAGCGCGAGGAGGAATGCGGCCGTGTCTGGCGCGAGCTGCGTGCGCTCGACCGCCTCGTCGACGGACACCTCCTCCTCGCGCGCCGCGGCGGTCGAGGCGTCCGCCACCACGTTGGCCGCGTGGCGCGCGCGGACCCACGGCACGCCTGCAGGGCGGTTCAGAGAAGGTTCAGGGAGGGCGCAGAGAGCGTGGCGCGCACGACACCACGGCGCGCGCCTTCGCAGCCGACCACCCTGGCGCCGTGGGCGAGCAGCGCGTCGAAAAAGACGAGGTCCTCGCCCGTGTCGCGGCCCGGCGGGTAGCGAGAGGCACCGCGGCCCCAGAGGGAGCGACGGTACCTAGAGAAGCCTCCGGGAAGGGTCAGGAGGGTGCCGCGAGGTGGCTGGAGAGACCTCTTTGGCGGGAGGCACATCATCGCGCACGGCTGCGCGAGCGGCGAATGCGACACGGCGGAGAAGGCGCCAAGAGAGGCGTCAAAATAGTGCAGCGTAGGCTCGTCGCCGCTGTCGTCGAGCATGCACACGTCGGCGCCGCCGCCGGACCGCAGCGCCGCCGCTTGCTGGCGGAGCCTGCACGGCGAGTAGAAGTCGTCGTCGTCCCAGACCGCGACGAGCTCGCCCGTCGCGACGCTGAGCGCCGCGTTGCGCTTCGCGCCGAGCGCAGCGCGCCGCGGGACAGGCGGAGCGTGAAGAAAGCGCAGCCGCTCCAGCTGCTCAGCCGCCGGGCAGGCGCTGACGGCGCTCCACCCAGCGGCGCCAGCCGCGGCCGAGTCGTCCACGACGATGACCTCCAGTCGCGACGCTGGATAGTCCTGCGCCGCGATTGAGGCCAACGCGTGTGGCAGGAAGTGCCGCCTCTCGTGGCTGATCATGACCACCGAAACAGACGGCCAGGACTCGGGTGAACCGTCCACCGCCCAGTCGCCGACCGGCGCAGCGGGTGCCAGCGGCAGCCGGAGCGGTGAGACCTCGGCGAATCTGGCCACGCTCCGAGAGGGCGAGAGCGTGGCGACTGAGGACAGAAGCATCGAGGTACAGAGGCGCGACGGAGCGAAAAGAAATCAACTTTTGTTGAAACCGTGTGGTGGCGGTGTGCCGTCCTCCCATCCCTGCGCTTGTGTTTTCTTTCTGTTCTTTTTGCAGAGACATTGTTCCGCTCACTCACTCGACTCCCCTCCACTCGGACCGACGGCGCGGCTCTCTCACTCGCTCGCCACTCACTGCCCGCACCCACCCTCAATCCTCGTGTTGCCCGGGCGCGCGCTCATCAACCTCTCTCCCTGAGTGGTAACAGCCTCGTACCCAGAGTGGAAACAGCCGCCCCTGCGTCCTAGGGATCTCAGAGATTATGGAAAGTTCACACGTCATGACGGTTAGCCGCTGTCACACGACCTAGCCGCTGTCACGACAGCTGGGAGCTGTCATGACAGCAAACGACAGCGACAGTGACACCTACCTGTCACCAGCTGTCACCAGGCAGCTGTCACCAGCTGTCACCAGCTGTCACCAGCTGTCGTTGCTGCTGTCGTTGCTGCTGTCATTGCTGCTGAGTGCTGTCATTGCTGCTGTCATTGCTGCTGTCTCTCATGAGCACCCCCGCAGGACAGTGTCACAAATGGGATGTGGTGCCACTAACTAACACGAGAGAGACAGGACACTCAAGATATACACGCACGCGCGCGCGACCGCTCACTCGCACGCCCGACGCCACATGAGAAACCCTCTCAACAGTAGCCACGCACCGTCAGCAGCGGGCGTGAGTCACAGAATCTGCAAAACCCTTGCCCTCCTTCCTCCAGCATGTGCCGTGATGGGCTCCAGCGCTGGTTCATCTGCCGCTCAAAAATCTCACGCGAGCGAACGGCGTCAATCATCAACCGCGAGGATTGGGACCTTGAAATCCACGATCGCAAGCAAACGCGCAGAGCATTGAGCAACCTGAGGGAGGGTGTAGAGGATGTAGAGTGTAGAGCGCTGTAGAGCTGTAGAGCTGGAGAGCGCTGTAGAGCTCTTGTAGAGCTGTAGAGGCTAGAGCTCTCTACATCCGGCGCGTGACGATGTGAGTCCGATGTAGAGCGATGTAGAGGCGCTCTACAACGTGAAATCTCTACAACAAAGGAAGGGAAGGGCGGAGGGAGGGGGGGGGGGGAGAGAGAGAATGGATGGGGAGTGGGCGGCCGGTGCAGGTGGTGCAGGCGACGGCGACTGCGATGGTGCGCGCATGGGGGGGGGCCAATGAATGCGGCCTCGCGCGATGCCCCATCGGCGATGGATCAATGATGCGCTGCCAGTTCGGCAGCGGCCTCGAAAAAAAAATGGACCTGCCTGCCATCGCCAACGCTGCGGGGGCTCGTGCCGCGGCGATGCGCTGTCGTTGGCTTTGGTGGTAAATGTCTACCAGGCAGCATGCTTTACATGATGGATGGGTCCTATCCGCAACCTCCATTCGTTTCGGCTTCGACCACTTATCTGGGTCCAGGTATCTAGATACCAGAACCCAGGTCGAGGGGGGGCGGACCTGGTCGCGACTGACGTGCCCGCTTCACGTGCGGTTCCCAATGCAATCGGACGCACTCCAAGCCGCCGCATCGAGACTCAAAGCCACCGACACGATCGTCACCCACCGTGACGGCAGCCGCACGCTGGAGCGGCAGGGAAACCAGGTTGGCACGTTGCCACCTCCCGATGTGCTGCCGCCCGCCCTTCAGGAGCGCAAGCGGATGTGCATCGCACCGCCGGAGCCTCCCTCGTGGACGCTGCCTCCGTTCACGTTCCAGCTGCCGCCGCCAGCGGGCGCCAGCCTGCGAGTCGTAACGTGGAACGTGTGGTTTGGCCCCGTCGAGGCGCAGGCTCGCATGGCGGCGCTCTTCTCCGAGGCTCTCGGCACCACGCCCGACGTGATCTGTTTGCAAGAGGTGGTGCCCGATCTTGCGGCGTCGATCCGCGGCTGCAGCGCCCTGCGCCGCGCGTATGCCATCTCCGCAAACGACGTCGGCTCCTACGGCTGCCTCATACTCGCCCGCCACGAGCTGTCGCCGAGATTCACGGAGGTGCCCTACCAATGCTCACGAATGGGGCGGTCGCTGCTCGTCGCCGAGCTCTCGCCGCCGGCGGATCCCGCGCCGCCCGCCGCCTGCCGCGTTGCGGTGGCCACGACCCACCTCGAGAGCCTCAACAACGCGCGGCTTCGCGCCAAGCAGCTTCGCATCGCGCGCGACACGCTCGCGAGCTACGACTCGGCTGCGCTTGTCGGCGACTTCAACTTCGACTCGAGTCAGAACTTTGGCGACTGGCTGCCGCGCGGAGACCGGCGCACGATGCCGCCGCGGCCGGAGCGAGAGTCGTCCGACTCCGACAGCGAGCCTCGCCCGCCGTGGGCACCCCCTTCCGCGCTCCGCCGCGCCGAGCTCGAAAACGGCGTGCTCGATCTCGTGATGGGAGATTACATCGACGCGTGGCCCGCGCTGCGCCCGCACGAGGCGGGGCACACCTTCGACGGCGGCAGCAATCCGCACGTGGCGGATGTGGAGGAGCGGATGCGGTACGACCGCGTGATGGTGCGCGGCATCGCGCCCGCCGCCATCACCATGCTGGGCGAGAGGCCCCAAGAGGCGCTCGTGCCCTCGGATCATTACGGGCTGTGCGCAGAGCTGCGGCTGCGGCCGGAGTGAGAGCGTACCCTCTTTTGCAACTGACATTGTTTCGTGAGGCCAGGTCGTGTTACGCTTACGGCTTGTGTACTCTACTAAATCTAAAAAACTAAAAAGCCCCCCCCGCCCCCCCCCTCCCCATCCTGTCCATCAATCCATGTCCATCCGTCTGCCGGACCAAGTGAACCGCCGTTCCTCTCTCGTCTCAATCCGATCGCATATGGGGACGAGGACCGGTAGAGGAGAATCATAAGTCCGCGGTAGCCAAACTCCGCGTGAGGCAAAGCGCAAACCCAGTCCTGAGCCAAACGGGATGGCGTCCTGAGCCAAACGGCACGCGGCCGCGAGGCCCATTCAACGTGTTTCTGGGCGGCGCCGGCCATCGAGATCAACGAGGTCGACTAGCGCGAGGCCGCCCAGCTGCACTTGACCGTGTTCGTGGGCCTGCTGAGGGCTGCAGTGTGCCGTGCTGCTTGCGTCAAGGCACAACGGCATGGCAAGGCAGCAGCCGGCGCAACCGCGCTCGAGAGCGCTGGCTCAGCGCGCCCAATCATCATTTTCTGTTGCCCTGCACGCCCTACCGGCGCAGCCGTAGTCCCAGCTTCGGCAGGCCGTGCTGCTCTCAGCTGCAGCCCGATCATGCCGATGTCTTGATGACGCCAGCGCTGAAGTGGACTGATAGCGAGGTGGGGCGGCATTTCTGAGTGGGCCGTCACGGGCTTTTTAGAGAGTTAATAAAAAGGCGCATTTCGGCTTCCGTGACTGTCCCGCGAGGCGATGCTGCCCTGCCGAGATCTTCCGGCCAGCAGTTGGCAGGACCCGGAGGACACGCGTGGACGGTGGCACTGAAGTGGATCGATATCGAGGTAAGGCGGCATTTTTGTGTATGGGCTTGAGCACTTGAGCACTGGATAGGGTCGATTCCGCATGGTACGGGACCCCTCCGATCGTCTCGCCCTCCCTCGCTGGTGTGCTCATTGGCTGTCAGCGAACTTCAGAGAGTTCATCAAACCACGCATCTCGACTTCCGCGACGCTCCCGCGAGGCGATGCCGCCTTACCTCGATATCGATCCACTTCAGTGCCAAGACCTCCACGCGTGTCCTCCGCCGGGTCCTGCCAACTGCTGGCCGGAAGATCTCGACAGGGCAGCATCGCCTCGCGGGACAGTCACGGAAGCCGAAATGCGCCTTTTGAGCACTTGAGCACTGGATAGGGTCAGTTCCGCATGGTACGGGACCCCTCGATCGTCTCGCCCTCCCTCACTGGTGTGTTCATCGGGGGGGGGTCATAACAAACACGGTACAGGATCGAGGTGCACGCTGCTGAGGGACCCCAGTGCGCCTTTTTATTAACTCTCTAAAAAGCCCGTGACGGCCCACTCAGAAATGCCGCCCCACCTCGCTATCAGTCCACTTCAGCGTTGGCGTTTGCAAAACGTGTGAGACCGCGTACAAACGCTGCTGTGCATCAAGCGCTGAGAGCTACATCCACGCGCACCGGTGTCTTATTTTAGACAGGGCTCCAGGCCCCAAATTACGTGTGAGTGTTAGAGTTGTTTGTTATTTTAGTCCATGGGTGGGGTGTATGTAATACACAGATGGGTGGGTGGGCGGTTGGGCCCCTTCGCTGGTGCCTGTCACTAGGGCTATGGCTGCCTCACTGTGGCGCTGGCTGGCGCTGCCTCGCTGTCGCTGTCGCTGTCGCTGTCGCTGTCGCTGTCGCTGTCACTCGCAGGGTCCCGCGCTGACATACCGTAGGGTACCGAACTTAAGGTAAGGTAGCTTGAGTTAGGTTAGGTGCTTTGCACTGAGTTAGGTACGGGGTAGCGGCAGTTAGGTACTGGGATTTCTTTTGGGGTACCTGCGACGGGCCCCCTCGGCCCTCGCTGGTACGGCGAGTGAGGAGGAGG